AATAACACATGCAGAGGGAGCAGAAATGGCGAGGTCTGATCAGAAAGCTGGGAATAGAGACCTAGACCAGGGATACATCATAGCTATGCTGTATAGCAGCTTCTAGGGAGATATACTTTGGGAGATTGCTAAGGAGAACAGAAGCTCCCATGTCCTCCCTAAGAAAGCACATCTGGAAAGACACCAGTTGCAACTGCCCCATGTTCTCACACCTTTAGGACAAAGCCTGGGACTTCAGACCAAGAAATGCACCAAGCTAAGCTGGGGCAGCAACACAAGATTCCCAGTACAAGATTCTCCTGCACTCAGCCCAAGGTCCTGGGACAGGACTCCCTCAAGTGCAGTTTGTATTCCTATTTGCAAGTCAGGAATGGGCACTCCATCCTTCTGCTTCCCTTTGGAGGGCCTCAGTGCCTGCAGGAGGTTAACAGGATTAAAGTGTGTTTTATCTGTCCCAACTCAGCTCTACAGAGGTCAGCGCCCTCCCTAGACATGAATGTTGACATACACAACATTACGTAGGCATTTCACCTCCTTTCTCAGGAGCAAAGTCCAGGTGGCCCCACCAGCCATTTCTAAAAACTGATTTAACTTTTATTCACTCCCAAGGCCTGAGCTTCTGCCATTAGGATTTGTTGTGGCAGCCCTGAACAGATTCAGATTTTTTGCAGTGGGTGCTGTACACCCAGAGTCTCATAGTATCCTTCCCTAAAGGGACCCTGCACAACAGCAGAACATGACATAGCATTAGGGCAAACAGCTTGTATTCTGAAGAAGGAGAGATAAGAAACTAGCTCTGTCTCATCCATAACTTCCCCTTTCTTTTGTGCCTTTCTAGATGCCTAAGAGTGCTATATGACCTTAACAGAGGCCTATTGAACCACAACCTTCCAACTCAGAGCATCACATTAGGTGAAAGAAAAAGTGCAAAGGCTCAGAAATCTCAGCTATCCCCTATTCTGATGCACACTTCCTCAGTTTCATTAATAGGGAGACAGAGGAAGAAAACCAAGGAATCACTAAGTAGCAAGTGTTATCAAAGAGAACCCAAAACAGTTAGTGAGACTAAATGTTTGGATTTTTATCTTGAAGATGAAGGCAATAACACAGCTGAAGAGGAGAACAAAAATTAAAAAGCACTCGGTTGCACAGCTCACCCAACAACACCACAAGGTGCACAACATTCCTAAGCTATTTAAACCAGAGCTCTTGTACTCACCTTCCATCTGGTTTGCTATTTAAGCCAGAGCTCTTGTACTCACCTTCCATCTGGCTTCCAACTGGTTATGTTCCACTAGGTCCCAAGTGCATCTCAATATTTAGCTATCTCTTTCAGTAAAGCCACTGCCTGGTGTTTGTTTTGGCCAGGGCATCTCAATTTTTTTTACAGTGTTGCTCTGCTCCTTTTCAGACCTAATTTTTCTCTCCTAGTTTGGAAACTGCTTGTAAGTGGAGATGACTAGTACATGCAAAAGGGGCAGAGGGGGAGAGATACCCAGGAGCCACTGAACGGCTAGTGTCCTAGTGTTGGAGACAATTGGCAGCAACCAGGAGAGGCAGGGGGAGCAGAGAATCACGAGAGACAAGCCAAGATAGGTCTGAATGGAGAGTAAATGAGAGGCTAGGTGTGAAACACCAGGAGTGGCAGGTGTTAATGACACTGAGTTTAGCTGCTCACCAGGACAGCAGCACATCTAGGGGTAGCTCCTCCAGGCACTCAGACTGGGAAAGTACAATGAGTAAATCTTAATGACTCAGAGAGGAAGGACAGGATAAGAAACTGAGCACTCTCATCTCCTAAAGTGTATACAAAGGCACATCCAGAAACAATCCATGGGCACCAGGCTAAGAACGTAGGAGACATGAGAACTCTGTTGCTGGTGTTCCTTGTTCTGTGTCATGGCAAGAACCCCGACCACAGCAGCCGGACACAGGCCCTGGTGCCCAAATGCTAAATAGTCCATTTGGACACATCTCTCCCTGATCATGACTATTTAGTAAGAGAGCCAAAGCGAGTGCAATCTGTTCTGTTTAAAAATAAGATCACCCATGAGCTTTGCTGCATTTTGTTTCCCTGCTCCAGTGCCTCCATTTCCCACTTCTGCACTGATCTCCATCCATTTCAGCCTTCTCTCCTGCTCTACTCTAAGCACCTCCTCAGCAGGTTACCAAGCTGTTACATATCTCAGAACAGAAGACCTCTGTAGCTGAAACATGGCCCACAGACTACTGCCTTCCATTGAAGCACCAGGGCCCTGGCTGGGCGATTCACATCAAAGGCTTTCCTTCTCCTCCCCAGTGCAAGAAGGAACAGGCAAGCATGAACATAGTCCCTGAGGGTTTCCTTCCTGAGAGGTCTCCCTGCCCTCTCTCACAAATCCTGCCAAACCTAACAAGGTTGGTGAAATCAGAGCTGCAAAGGCCTTTAACACAGTGTGTTCAGCACACAGAGGAGGTGACCAAGGTGACTGTTTCAGTGCCACACTGTGCACTTTCCCTCCACCGTTGATGTTCTTATAAAATCTAGACATGGGTTGGATGTCACGAGTCTCCTTCCACTATGACTTGCCTCTATTGAAGGCAAACTCACAGTCTTTACTGATCGATGTGACCAAGTAAGCAGCTCAGGGACCAGACTCTGGTGCTATGGGACTTCCACTGTTGTTGTACCTACATGGTAGAGAATGCATGCTGGTGGCATGGCCTCTTCTGGGCCTGAATAGGATAAAAGTCTTTGAGGCAGAAGAGGCCGTATTCCTGAAAGGATTCAGAAAGCTTACCATCTCTTGCTGCTGTAACAGTTGTCTATTATATAGGGAACTGAGAAGAAGCTCTGGCCTTTTGTCTGTCCCAGAAATCTTTGTACATGCTTTCAAAACCTGCTCCCTATGTGAACTCCAGACATGTCTGAACAACCTGGGTGGTTTGACACATTACAGCAGTATGTTGGTGTGTGTGTCCATGTGTGTATGCACATATATGGAGTTTTTCTGAGCTCCCCCTTTGCTGTTATTTCTGATGCTTTTTGCAGAAGAGAACCCTGAAGGTAGTCACAGCCACTAGAAATGGTCGCTTGGGATGGCTTCTCAGTCCCTTCTCAGGCAGCACAAGCAAAGCCAGTTTCAAGCTCCTGCTTTGCGTGTTGCTCTGAGGGGCTCTTTCTTAGGCTGCTGTGCCTTCTGGCACCTAGGGGTGAGTGTACGAGCAGAGAAATGATTGGTATCTTCTGTGGATGACAGTGCCCAGGAAACAGGACCATCCAGAGTCTGGGACATCCTGTGCTGTAGAACCCTGTCACTGCCAGGCACATGGGCTCTCTTGGTAACTTGCTGTGGCATGCCCCAGCAAAGCCTGGCTGACTTCAGGCTGGAGACCCATCACCAAACAGCCATTGTTTTGTCAACTGAGCGTTCGCATTCCTCCTTCAGCACTCCTCAGTGAGGGCTGGGCCTTAGCTCACCGCACCCCAGGGGGCTGGCCCCCTTCTGCCACCCGTGTAGGTGCCTGGCATGTGTGCAGCATGGCTGACTGGCAGTGAGCTACGCCTGGCATTCTCCACCTCCGAAACTCGGTCACGAGCAGGGCTTATTACTCAGTTCCTCAAACATTGAATTCTGCCACCTCTCTCCAAAACATATTCATGTTGACATATCCCCTGGCCACTAAGCCCAGCATGGGGGCTGGACCTGGCACTCAACTGAAATTCCTCCTACTTCTACTGCTCTCACACTACCAGGCTCCTTGCTTTTGGGTTTGGAGACCCTGAATTAGGGCTTCTGTGACCAGTGGAGGGATGGCACGACACTTCATTTGGGTTTGTAACCAGCTGGAGCATCAGATGCTGCTGGCTTCTCCCCTCCCTTTTCACTAGTTACTGATAAACTCTGTGAATACTGATAGTTGTTTCCCTGATGTTGCTTTTTCTTTTTAAGTGACTCCTGCTAGGCTGTCTTTGTAAGAGTCAGGGGCAGGGCAGTCTCCAGCCAACAACCTCCTGTGCTAAAGGCTGGTCAGTTATCAGCAGCTCTAGGCTAATAATAACACTTATTAAGGACTTTCCACAAGACTGAAAAAAATGAGCAAAATCTCTACAAACCCTGTTTACAGGTTGTAGGGAGAAGGATCTACCAGAGTGATAAAGCCTGAAACAAATACTCAAGTGTGAGGGTCTAGTATCATAAAGTGTGTTGGAAACCCTGATTTCTGCTTCTGTCTTTTCTCTGATACCAAGAAAGAAATTTTTCTATGTCCCAGTTTCTCTGACTAAAACAAATGGGAGATTTGCTTCTGGCCTCCTTTGAAAACGGAACTGAGAAGGGGCTGTAGGTGCAAAGGGTTGTGAGTAGTGCTGACCTCTACTGGTACACTAAAACTGGCTGATAGGTAACATAAAATACCATAAATACATAAATACATAACATAAATAGAGCTTGACTGTATTTGGGGGGGGTCTGGAGATTTATGTGTTCCTTTTAAACATGAAAAGTTAGGCTTGCTCATTGTTATGGTAATGGCATCATATTCTTGGAGAGACACAGGGAAGAGATGCTACCAGGAGCTTTCCATGCTCATGGCCACAGCTGGTTGGGGCTGCCCCTTGCCAGATGCCTGAGCCGTGTCTCTGCCGTGCCCCTCCCTGCACACATCAGTGAATCTCTCTGTGCCTCGCTTTGTGCTTGGGAACCATAGTTAGGACACTGTTTCCTTCTCCCTTGGCTGAATTTGAGAGTGCTCTATGTCAGCCTCTCTGGAGCACACACAGGACCTACCAGAATGGGTAAGAGGTCATATCCACTGCAACTGCCAATGTAAATAACCACGGTGGTGGTATCTCTTCAGAGCACCTTATACTTTTCCAAATCTCCTCCCAAAGATTTTTAACCACCTCAAGACACAGCTGGGACAGTGCAGTTTGGAAGGCTAGCCTCTACAAATTGAAACAAAACACAGCCACGCACCTATTTTTTTTGAGGAAAAAATACTTTATTTTTCCCGTCAGACATACAGCATCTAAATAATAACAGCTCCTGACAGGAGGCCTGACAACACATATATGAAAAGAGAAGCTGTATGAACTTACCATTCAGTGGTTTTATGTTATTTCTTAACCAGCTTGAAGACACAATTGACAGTTACACACAAGCTCTTGCTGAGAACAAGTAATTTCCTTGCCCTACTCTAGGACACATCATACACATGACAATGTGGACACACAACAGACAAGGCAGTTACATGGAGAGGTACATGCAAGAGAGAAGACATCAATGCAGTCACAGGCACATGCCAGTGACAGAAGTTGTTTTATACTGAGCAGCACTGGCACCACCAAAATCACAGCACAGGGTGAAGGGAGTGGTCTTTCTGCCAGAAAGTGGGAAAGAAGCTGACCCGGGAGACCATGGCAGCCTGCAGTTCTTGTCTGATCCCAGCCAGAGCTGGTTTAGGGCTCCTCAACATGGCAGGCTGACTACTGCCCCCTAAGCCCAAAGGAGAGGAGGCTGCCAGGCTGTTCTTGCCAGTGGGAAGGGGGGAGTCCCGGCAAGCTGGTCTAGAGTCTAGTCTCTGGCTACAGTCTCCTGTGTTTACTACAGAGAGGCAAAGTGAGGGGAAGGCATCTCTCCCAGCTGCAGTGGCCCTGTGAAGACTCCTATGCCCTCCCTTTGCAGGGGAAAGCTGGCTTCCCAAGTTTTGGGCAAGAACAAACCCTGCAGCGCAAACATGACCATTTTGTTTCTCCTGATGCGCTGAAGAGCAGACCACAGTGCCTGTGAGCTGGTTGCCTGAGGCTGTTGGTTACTGTCCCATGGATCTGAGTCCAGCTATCACACCATTGTTCTCTGTGCTTCCCGCACTTTCTCTGACACTTATGGGGGTCCCTATGCAGAAAGGAGCAGGGTGGTGGAGGTTGCCTTCCCGTGCCTAGTGACAGGCTCTTTCACTGTTCTGCAGTGACTGCAGTATCCCTGCCTCAGTGGGCAAGTTATCGGTGGGGCTGGTCCTGTGGGTGTTTGGTACAGCTGAAGAGGGGAACAGAAACACTGGGCAATGCAGAGAGGGAGGTCCTGTACCACCTTCTCTGCAGAAGGTTGTTCTGTTGAGCAGAACAACCAAACAACATTCTTCCTGTGAGAAATCTGAGGCTTTATAAAGCCAGGCCTTAGAGATGATAATTTTTACCTTAATTTTCTTGGCAGGACATGAATTCAGGATCCTGTTGCATTCATGGTAATTATTGCTCTGTTCAGAAGCTAAGCCTCAGCTAGCAATATATCTTCCACTGACTCCATTAGCACAGGATCAAACACCTCAAGCAGACAGTTGCTTCTTGGATTTCTCCCATGGTGTTAGACTTAGTTCTTCACAGATCGGCATCCCAAGTATTTCATATCTATGCCGTAACAGAGACTCAGAACCTCACCCAATATTTTGAGTCTGTGGAAAAGGCATTCCTTCAGAGACCTCAAAGAAAGAGCTTACATTTTTGATTTTGCAATTATGCCTTGGTAATCATAGACTGATATTGATCCAGGATCTAAAACAGGGTCTTACAAATGAGTTTAAGGAAGAACCTCCCTCTGTGTCTTTCAACACACAAAGGACCTGATTAGTTAACTGCAAGGGGGGGCTGTGTGCACTCTTCAAGCCCATTACAGAGCACATAGCTCCTCTGTTCAATTACAATTTAGCATATAGATTTCCTGTTTAATTAAAATTTTGGAAAAAAAAGAAAGAAAGAAAGAAAGCCCATTTCAGGAAGTTCTCCTGACATAGGCTGTTTTCTTCTGAGTAAGATAATAGCTTCAATGCAGAGAGCAGGAGGAAGTAAGCAACACCATTGTTACAAGTTCAGCTGGAAAAGCTGAAGGTAGGAAGCTCTTGCTCAATTCTCAATTCAGCAGAAATGGGAGTCAAGAATTATGGCAATGTCTCCCAGGCAAGTCTTGTTCCCAACAGCAGGACCAGCTGATGGGAAGTGAATTGTGAGAGCCTCCAGTTACTGTGCCCACAGCTCCTGTCCAAAATCTAAGCTCACTGTGGGCTGGGTGACAAGCTCCTCCTCACAGCTCCTGCTAGGTCCTTGCAGCTGAAAGACCCTCTGCTTTAATTTATCAGTGATATCTTGTAGCTGTGACAGCCCTGGTGCCTGGGCCATCTGTGGACAGGGCTGATCCTGAGGTCCATCAGATATTGCCAGAGAGGCTTTCCACAGAATGCAGTGACACACACATCTTAAAAAAGGTGGCAATACAAAATGCCCCTGCAGAAGGTCCACACTAAACTTATCACTGCACTGCATAGCATGCTAAACAGTGTAGCACTAATGAGAACTGTTAGCAACTGTCTGGTACAACTCACATTTCTATTGGCTTTAAGCCTACAGAGCCTATTTGAGGTGAACGACTGTGAAATACGAGTGATGAAGATATTTGGAATACATTTACACTGACCCTGTAATAGCAGCAATAGCCTGCACCAGTTACAAGGAAAGAGAAATCTCAGCAAAGGGAGAAATGCCTGGAAAAGAAGTATGTGGTTGAAAAACTGACACATCTCATTTTCACAATATTCTTCAACTGAAATGGTGTCAGCACCCCCAACTGCAAATTGTTTCCTCGGCAAAATCAAGAAAGATCACAACTTCAGAAATTTGGTGCTAGTTTTTTAAAGAACCTTGAGATGCAATTTAAGGAGTGTGAAAATAAATGATAGAGGGTCAACAGCTGTGTTAGAGACCATATAACCAGAAGTTTGTTCCCTAACACTCAGACCTAAGACTTTACCAGTAACAACTGCTTCTCAGTTTAGAGTATTTCAGATTTCCTCCCAATTACGCTGTCAGTCAATTCTCATTGTAGTTGTCCGAAGTTAGGTGTTAGTATCCTCTTCTCTCAACATCTAAATCTAAGATACAGAAAGGTTACCAAGGTAATCTGGAAACAAGCTACAGCAGAACAAAACTGTCTGTAACCAGGTAGACACAACTAAATTTCTTCTTTCCATTTCACTCTAATGTTTATATTCTGTTTTCTTTACATTATAATCACATCTGTTTTCTGCAGACAATTGCATGTGTTGGGAACAAGTTGCAATACACCACTCTGGACAGAAGTGTTCAGAGTTCTGGGGTTCCTGCTTTTTAGGAAAGGATAGATAAGAGACTTTGTGTCAGCTTGTAGAGAGGCAGAAACCTCATACATCACCTGGTTCCAAGTTCCACCTACTCCAGAGATACTGAGGGGAGAGAGGGCAGAAGTTCTACTCTTTGACATTATACATCATTACACTGAAAAAGAGCAGCCCTGATTTTTCATATCAACAGTTTCTGACAACAGTGGTGTCTATGTCCAGCTGTCTGGATTATCCTAACAGTGGGAGAACAACTGACAGTGACTTAGTACCGTGGGAGCCAGAGTGAGAGCACTTGGCTGTTTGCTAGAAGTGCACATCCAGCTGTGGCTGGATGATGTTCTTGGACACCTGTGAGCCCAGCACATTTGACCGGGGCAAGATGTGGTAGACACCGTTTTGGGAAGAGTTACCACTCAGGTTGTTTCTCTGGACATGTTCCATCCCCCAACTTTCTGCTTCTTCCTTCCGCAGTTGGTCTAGGCTCTGGGAGTGCAGCTCTTCCTGACTGGCTTCTTCCTCCTGTAAACCAGAAGAAAGGTACCAAGAACTTCAGCGACACTCTAGGAGAGAGGCAAGGTGTGCATGATACTTAAATATCCTCCCACATTCTTTCAGAAATTAGTACAATCCTGCCTGTCTATAAAAGATCTAATATACTGTTTACTGCAGTACAGTGATGAATGCATATTCAAGCATTAAACAAACAAGGAAAGATTCATCCCTTTTCACCCTCTACAAGAACATTCACAGAAATGCTGTGGCAAAGCAAATCTGCAAACAACTACTCAAATAAGCTTTCAGGTACATTCACATGAGAAGTTGGACCTTTCAAGACACTCTTTAAATGGGAAGTGATCACAAGACTACCCTGTAAAAGGAAGGCTTCTTTCTTACTCAGCTAGGTCACTTTGTGCCATTTGGCTATTCTCATTATTAAGGCCATAAAAGCATGAAGTAATGACATGATTCCCACATGCCTTGCTGCCTTTGACTTTAAAGCTGAAGACCCAAAATACACTGGATGACTGGATATAGGCAGTCTTTGGCAAAAGTCACAATTCTGCAGCGAGATGCTGTAAGCACACTGCTAACAGTCTTCCATCACATATGTCTTATAAATAATCCACAGGCAAGGTGTTGTTAAGATCACAGTCCACAACACTGTCACGAGCTGTTCTTGCTGGAAAGGACCATCTGATAATTTTTCTTTTAATGTCTGAGGATAAGCAGTTACAAAGCAACTGAATTGTCAGTGAATTGCATCCACTGCCACAGGATTGAGCTTGGCCTCAAAGGAGCCAGAAGGTGTGTTTAAAGATACCATGGTTAACTGAGGGGACATAAAAGCAAAGTGTTACTTTTCTTGAACAGAAAAGGCTTGATCATACAGAATGCTGACCCTGGCCAACCCTTTCTGTCTTATGTCAATGTGGATTGGAAAAGCAAAGATAATACCAGGTCCTTTCACACAGCCCTGCTCTGTGAAGACCTAATGTGAAGCAGGTTCAGGTGCATGGTGGAGGGCTACCAACCTTACTAACATCATCCAGTGGTTTGCCCACCAGGTCCTTCCTCTTCAGCTTGCTTCTTTCTGGCACATCGAGCTTGCTCACCACTGCATCAGTCTTGGAGCCAACGCTGTTTATGGACAGTTCCAGCTGCAGTACACGTTGCAGCAGGCTGGGGGAGACACAGAGAGCATTTGTAAGCCTCTTCTTGTGATGATTTGTAGGATTTGCAGGAGATATCTCACAGACAATGGGCCAGACCTCAAACAGGAGTGAATGCTCCCCATCAAATATTGATTCATACCCACTGAAGGCATAACTTCCTGCTGTACTGTGTTTTCATCTGTAATCAGTGATTCTGCTTAGGATGGATCCCAGCCACTTTGGATCACAGTTCAGACACAATATAATTCCATTATTAAGTATTGCACCTGCCTCTCCTTTGATATGGCCCTATGTGGTTTGCTCAGTGTTTCTCAGTAGCAGAATCAGGATCTCCTGATTCTCTGTGCTGTATTTATCCCATGCTCTGCTGTGGAAGAAACAGCCAAGTGTTATTCTTGGACCTGGACGATAAAGGCCAACTAGGCTATAAATCAAGGATATTTATTCCCACAGGATCTTCTGTAAAGGTATCAGCTTCCCTTGGCCCAGTTATCTGGGCCACCTTCTGATCTGAAATATGATGGCATATTGCCTGTGGCCAGCTGACAGCTGCAGAGGTTATTCAAGAGGCAGAAAGCAAAATGTCTTAATTTTTTATACGAACAGGCAAACTACATTACTAGAATTGTCCCAGTTATCTCCTGACCTGCTTATTTATGCATGTGCAAGATAAAAGAGACAAGATCTTACTGAAACCGCTCAACACCACTGTAAAGAGTTACATCAGGGAAGGAAGCAGAAGGGAATCAGACTCCTCATTTGCAGAGGGTTGAAACTACTGACAGCACAAACATACACTTGGAACTCTTCTTTGGAGACCCAGCTGGCTTTATTGGTGTGGTTATTCCTTGCTTCCCTGTAGACCAGATTCTCATCCAGGTTGTTGTCACCATAGGATTTCCCCAAATTTTCAATCTCTGTATTCAGAGCAACCTGGAAGATAAAGAAACTCCTGCAAAGCTGGATACTAACTCCGTGTCAGCTTTACTGTGAATAACACACAGCTTCACAGGCAGTGATATACTCAGCTGTTATCCAGGCACAGTTGGAACTGTATTTGAGTTGCCTGCTTAGTTTATACCCCAAACCCAAAAAGATTTCTGGGACCACTTTGGAGTGAACTCTACCAAACAGAAGATTTCTTTCCTTGCCCTTTCTTACCCTTTTTGCCTCAAGGTCATGCTTCATCTGCTGTTGCTCCTCTTCATCAAGGATGTGGTTGCCATCTTTGTCAAACGTGCAGAAAGCTGCTGTGATTTCATGATCTGCATGGCCCAGTCTGAAAAAGAATAGAAAGAAAACTCAAAGCACAGAATTACACTGTTAAGCTCTAACAGTGTGGGAACACCACTTTTGAAATCAGTGTATTGTTTCCTCCTGCCAGTGACAAACCTCAGCACTCCAAATGGGCAAGAGATAGTAACACAAACCTATTTAGATCAGCAGATTAAACATGTGGGGAAAGATAACTATTTTTTTTTTTGAGTCTTAAATTGCCCAGATCTGAGCTAACTGCTCTCCCAGTCTTGAAAACCAGAGAATCTAGATTACCCATGTTACCAACAGAAAGAGCTAAGTGGGCATCCCTCAACCTGACTCACTTACTCCTTCAAGCTGTTCTTGAAGTCTTCAAAGTCTAGTTCTTTTGTTCCATTCTGCAGTGCTTTCTGCACATCAGAAATCTGCTCCTTCTTCAGCTTCAGCCTCATGAGTGTCCGGTTGTAGCTCTGTTACCAAAGGTGCAAAAAGGTGCGAACAGACACAGAATCATGCAGACAGAACAGTCAAAAGTAGAGCAGAGCACAGGTGAGCCTACGCTAAGTAATACAGGAAGTTTTTAAGTTTTCCACAAGCAAAAATACAACACTGCTGAATGAACCTCATCTCTAAACTAGGATCACACTTTCAAAGTGACAGCAACATGCTAGTCCTCTGCTTTTCTTCTCACAATTCTTTTATCTGATCTCTCAGTCCATCAGCTGTTTAAGACAATGTCTCAAATACTGTTCTTTGCAGAATATTGCTCCCACAGCAGAGTTGTGACCTTCCAGGAACTTTTCTGGAATTCGCCCATGGGAAATCCAGATGTAACCCACTACATTTGCACCACTGTAACATGCTCAGCTTAGCAAAGTAGGACCTGCCGTGTTATTGATCAAAGTACAATCTATCAAGGACTTGAAAGGACTTTGTTTAGAGACCATCCTGGGAAGAAAAGTCTCTCAGAAACACTACATCAAGTAAGAAGATTCCCCCAACCTCTGCTTTTTCATCTTCTCATTGCTAAAGAATCTGGGAGCTTGATTTATTCCAGAAAGGAACTGTGACTCCTCTGCACACAAAGAAGATAGATCTGGAGTTGGCAACCACTGTTTCTCTCTAGTAAATTCCACTTAGTTCAGGGACTTCCAAAAAATGCTTCATGATTTAGCTAGAAAGTAGCATGGCTTTCACTATTCATCACCTGCTTCAAGATGTCAGAGAGCTGCAGCTCATCCTTCTGGCTTGAAAGCTCTTCCTTGACTTCTGAGTAGGTGTCATTGATGATGGCCAGAAACATGTTCTAGAAAAAGGGGAAGAAGAGAGGTGAATATGCATAAGACATCTTGCCTGCTCCAGCAACTGAAGCAGCAAGAGGCAGGACTTAGTTAAACAAGGAGCTATTTCCCCACAGAGTCTCTCTTGGGCAAATTAAACTGGGTGAAGAGAAGGCCCCTTTCAGCCACACTGTGTTTTCTCATGTTTTTGCAGTGAAAGCAGTGATTGCAGGTATTTGTTACCAGCTCGAATACTACCTTGGATAGCTTTTTTTGAAAAATCTGAAGTTACATTTGGATTCCTGACACTGGCTGTTTAACCTGGATGTTATGAGCATCCCTCTGCATTCGTTACCTAGGAAGCCAGAGACTCTCCCCCATGGTTTTTTCACTGCCTTTTACAGAACAGCTGATCTGATCCCCTTGAATTCAGCTGACACATTAGTGGTTTTTCCAGTCAGATTTAGTCTTCACCTTAAAACATGTGAATATGGCTCTAAGTCACCCTAATAATCAAATCCCCAACTGTAATAACACACTCTTTGCCTACTGTGGTCTATTCGCATTGCAAAGCTTCTGTAACAAACTCCCTTTCCCTCTAAAGCATTAGCGCTGCACCAAACTCAGGGAATGTCAGGAGGGGTCTCTCAAACACTGCTGTCAATACTGGGACAAGGAGTACTTTCTTGCTTACCAGGAGCACAAAGAAAACAAAGAACACATAGGTGACAAAGTAAATAGGCCCAAGGACCCTGTTGGCATTGTCAATGGAATTGTAGTCAAAATCACCGAGAATGATCCGAAACTGGGTGAAGCTGGAGGAAAGAAAGAGCCCGAGATCACACAAAGGCACATGGATTTATCCTACAACCTCAAACAGTCCTGAGGTGAACCTGAACCCACCTGCAGCCCAGATGGGCATAAGAACAAGCCAGAGCAGGGTCTAAGCCACTCGGTCAGAGTGTAGGTTCAGCTACTCATCCTTAGCAATAAACCCCAACAACCAGAAATCTGTCTGTTACCCTCAATTTTCTCACTGTGTTCTTTTGTCCATGAAGATGTCACAACTAAAGGACTATGAGTGACTTATTAACTGTTGTGACTTTATTACAATGAGATACAACAGGTATCTGATTGACATTCAGATTTGTATCTGTAGGGAAGGGTGAAATTCTTTTGATAAAATTATGGAAACATGGTTCTATCTTATACACTTACATGCATTTAACAAAGGTACTGAAGTTTTCCACTTGTGTCCCAAAAAGAAGGTAACCCAGCTGGGCATAGGCAAAGAAGACAATGAAGAACATAATGGCAAAGCCCAGGATGTCCTTGGCGCAACGTGCCAGTGTGGAGGAGAGCTGGGTCATTGTTTTGTTAAAGCTAATGTACTTGAATATCTGCAGGATGAAAGAATGGGGAAAAAGTTAGGCCAAACCATCAGCTAGGTCAGTCTCCCTCAGGTATGTGCATGCTTACTGACAAGAGGTTCACTATAGTACCAAAGCACTGAGAAGAAAGTTGGGCTAGAGGAATAGCGGCTTAGTGTTCAGGATATTTGTCCCGGGTGTGCCACCATCCTCCTGGAGGTCATAAACATATGGCTTTGTTCCCTGTGTCAAAGCAAAATACAAACAGGGACTGCTAGAAGGACAAATTTCTTAAAGCTAACAAGGAGCCCCAAATAGAGAGTGGCTTTCCACCACGCCAAGACGCTTTGGTTGAAATGCAAAGTCCACGCCAACACATGAGTAATTTCCAGTTCTTGAGGGATCATCATGAAAGGAAAGCATGGTTTACAAGATTATCCTCCAGAATACTAAAATAGTACAGGATAGACAAAGTTACATTGTACTCAGCATTTTCTAAAACCACTTTTATACCACAATGTCTGAGCTCATCGCCCTGGATGTTATCTCCCAATAACTGGCTTCAGAATGCAGGGTGAAAAGTTGTCCAGATTTACTGCAAAACAGAGCATATGACTTTGAGGAAAATCCTCTGCTGTATAGCTGTTACACTCATTTACTCAGAGGGATGGAAGAGACAACCCCCAAATTATCTAGAGGAAGAGGTCTGACTGGAGACCTGGCACCTCCCAGACCCACTACAATACCTTGATCCAGGCAAAGAATAAGTTGACTGCATTCATATTGTTGTACTGCGTCTGCCAGAATGCCAAGAACTCAAAATCTGCGTAGGTGTTGGGGTGTTTCAGCAACTCTCCCAGCAGCCTGTTCACCTCAATGGTGCGAAAGATGTGAAATCCAATGGCGACAATGGAGAGCTGCAAAGAGGAAGAGGAATAGTCTGCAGTGACCACTGTACCTATGCTTTCCTCAGAAATTAAAGTGTCACAGAACTCCTTGATATAGCAGTTCACAGCTGCAGTCTACTGGTGGGGGATGGAAATAAGGTCTTGATGCGCTGAATGATGCCCTGCTTTCACAGTCTCTAGGGTATCTCTAAAGAAAGTATTTTCTCCTAACAGTTGACAGAAGAACATATATCCATTAATTCTGCTAGTTCATTTTAGTATTAAAGCAAAACCTCTGCCAGCTCTTGTCCTATCTGGACTAGTTCCCACATTCTTTCATTTATTTTGGCTCTTATACCTTTCTGCAATTGCTCCCCCCAAAACATGTGTAAGAGTCCTCACCAGAATGACAACAACATCCAGGATGTTCCAGATGCTAGTGAAGTACTGAAGCTTGTGGATACGCAGCTCCAAAGTCTCCTCCACCACGTAGTAGAAGATGAAGACACAGAATACAATTTCACAGGCAACAATGAAGAAGTCCCATGCACTGACATATCGTATAAGTTTGACTGTCCGGATTTGCCAGGAAGGAATGGCACCACCAGTGGCTGGAAACTCAACAACTAACCTTGAAGGGGACAAGAAAACTCTGATAATTATAAACAAGAGGATGGAGGCTCTGGGATTATTTTGAGAGGCAGTAAACTTGAGCATGATCTATCCATCAGACCATGAGTGGAAGAGTTGTGCATGTGTGTACACAGCCATATCTCTGCTGCTTCACTGCCTGTGACAGGAAAGGGTGAAAGATAAAGAGAAGTGTGACTGGTTATGTCAGGAAGACCAAGACTTCTTACTAATCCATACAATTTCTACTGACATCACTCAGACCTACCCCACTGGTAGACCTTAATAAAGTATTTGCATTTTAAGAAACCATGGCACTGAGGAAGATGCAAGAGGCTGAAGAATTTTCAGCTGGACTCAGCTTACCTCAGAACACAGAACAGATTGATATTTGCATTATACACAGAGAAATCAATGAAGACAACTCGTGTTCCCCGATCCAGCCACAGCTTCTCCTTCAAGACTTGCAGGGCTTCAGCACTCTCTTCTCTGGTCAACTTGAGGTCTATGTAGTATCCTCCCCCACTGTAACTGGTTAGTCTTCCCCAGTGAGATGAACCACCCAGCTCCTCCTCAGAATGGTAACTCCATCTACAACAGACAAACCATAAGCAAAGGCTTCACCACCCCAGGCTTGGATATGACCTTGTAGCCTGGAAAATTAGACTATATCTTCAAGGGACAGAACAGTTTTTAATTAAAGAATTGGCACTTAATTCCTAATGAGTTCTTCATTGTTGTTAGTTTTCTAGTCTAGTGCTTCCCAGCAGTGACACATGACTTGCAATATTATGGAGGGAAAATTCTGAGATCCGTTGGCTAGGTCAGTCTTGTTTTCATGGAGGCTGCTCCCAGGATCTGCTCTATTGCCTTCTATCACATTGCACACAACCATCTGCTTAGAACACTCTTGCACTTATATTTCCTTATGAACAATAATTTCTTGTTCACAGATCAAGACTCATGCAGCAAGTAAAGAGTTATTAAACGGAAGCTACCTCACATTATTATAGAGAAATAGGCTGTCAAGATGAGAGAGATGTACTTTCTTCTCTTTGGCTCCTGAAATCCCAGAGGAAAGCAAATAGTATCCTCCTTTTGATGGATCTGGTCCCAGAGGTCTTTATTTAGCTTCACACTCTTAAAGACAGGCAACAATTTCTACCTAATTTTCACTGGGTTTTTCACGGCTTTCCCAACAGGTCCCACTTTGCCACTCATTCTGTTGTGCTTTTCCTCAAAGAGACACTCGACCTTATTGATAGACGAAAAGGACTTGCTGCCTCTGACTGCAAGGGGAATTCCAGCCTTATGTGAGAAACTCACCCTCAGCATCCTGCAGCTTAGCAGATCTTGTTTTAACTAGAAGAGACTAATTTGGATTAGATGTACTTACGCTGTTCCATTGATGAGCCCAAAGGAGCCCCTTTCCTCCTTGTCTTCTGAGTATACATCATAGCAGCCTGAGATTTCCTCCTTGAAGTCATCATGGACCACACAGGAATTGTTCTTCACCTTCAATTGTCTCATGCGTGGGACACCCAGCAGCAGATTCTCGTAATAAATGTACGACCGGGTGCTGTGTGCTGTCAGGGACTCGTTGTTGTACCACTTTGTCCAGTAAAGGTTATCCAGAAGGGGACCTTGTGCATACTGCAAGGGAGGGAGAGGAGAACAACTGCTTTGTAGATCACACAGAGGGAATTTTCTTAGCCTGGGATTGAGATAGTAAGACGTGACCTGCCCCTCTCTGCTCCCCAAGACAAAGGTAATGTCTTTGTTGGATGTATGTTAAGGAGGGGAAAGACCAGGACTGCTAATAGAGGAGGGATGCTGGGCAGCAGGGTCGTTGTTGGTTTCTCACAGGCCTGTTGTACAGTTGCTGCACCTTCCTGGGCTCATAAAAGAGACAAGAGCTCTGCAAGTCTCTTTGTCTTTTCCATTTCAGTCAGCACAAGTCTCAAGGAATTGCCTTGGCACCAGTTGTGAATTATGAAAAGGGCATATGCCAGTATCCTGGAAACACCAGGGGAGAATCAATAGTGCCATTGTTTGCTGTAGTGTTTTAATATGATAGAAAAAGACAAACATAATTGATGAACAATTTCTGTCTGTCAGAGATAAGTGGTTGCAATAACTCAATGGCCTTCACTGTGGCTCTCATTATTCCTTCACCAGTTCTTTGACGGAAATATGTTAGACCCTAGACATCTTTCCCCTTTTTTATTCTCTTTGATAAAAGTCAGTGCAAATTTTAATCCAGCTTCTTCATAAAGAATCTAAAAATCAGACAAGCCCAGGCATGAATTACAGGCAGGTTAAGTATGCTGTTCCCAAATTGCCATGAAAATGGACAAAAGCCTACTACTAAGACACCAGCATGAAGACATGGGGCTGTAGGATTCAAAGCCACTTGTACCACATGGAAACATGAAGTAAATCACTTGGCCTCTCTGGATCAGTTCTTTCCATCTGTGCAATGAATAGATGCTCAGATCACTTTAATTTTTTTGTTATGTCCTGCCTGTTCAGCTGGTAAATTACTGGGAAATGGACTCTTCTGGGCACACACAACACTTATCCTAGCCAGTATTCTGGCCACAGTGCTCAGAGGGATAAGTGATATTTTAAGTCAGTGAGTATTTTGCACGCAAATGCTATTGCAACTATTACTAGTAGCTGGTAAAAGCTTGTGGCAATAAAATGCCTTGCTGAAATCACTAGGTAGCAAATTCAGAGGGAACTGAATGTCCCAGTCTAGCTGAGATTTACAGGGTTCCCCATGCTGAGCTAGATTTGTACTCACCACCCAGAAGTCAGCCATGCTTCCGATGGACTGGAAGGAGACACGACCATCTGAAGAGGTCTGCAGAAAGAGCTCAGACATCACTTTGGTGTAGTAATAGGCATTGGAACTTGTCATTCCATATGTCACTAAGAGAAGAGATAAGAGAAGGGTCCTTCCTTATACCTGAATATAGGAGCCTGATTATATTTATATATTCACTTTATGTGAATATATATAAATATATATATAAAAATATATATATATATTATATATATATAAATAAATATATATAAAGCTTGTACTTTCACAGGTAAGCTGAGCAAGGCATGGGAGAAGAAATCTTAGGACCTTTTGCTTTCTTAGGGATTTACAAATTTACTTGTTGCCTGTTGCAGAATTTAAACCGTCAGACTGACAGACTGTAAGAGGTTAGTAGAGAGAGAATACCATTGGATGATGCAACTGAACATCCCAGGTAATGATTTTGGTTCTCAGACAAAATTTCTGAGGGAAATTTTCTTTCTCAGAACAAAGCCCATGTTCTGTATTTTGACTTTCTGATGTGAAGCTGCGAAGGTACAGAGACCACCCTGTTTTTGCAAGTGGAAAGCTCCAGGTAAGTTCTCATCCACCAAGAAACCCCAACAGTAGCAGGCTCTAACTTCCACGAGCATGTTGTTTCAACTCTCCAGTGCTCCTCTTCCTTCAGAAAAACATCCATCATGGTGATCACTAAGAACATGTTCTGCTCTTGAAAGCACAGCAGGAAAATAAAGCAGCTGACGTTCAAGACACAATCCCCCCACACCTTCTGGATGAGTCAGTGTGTGACAACACGTACCTGTGTGCACCTCTTGCTTCTTTAGGAAGAGTGACTGAAGCACTGTCTCCCTGGGCCAGTGTGATAATAACTTAGGTTGCTATTGTCTGTCAATCTCTCCTGCCATAGGGTCCATGAAATATAATCCTCTTCACTATCCCTTGCCACTGGTGTTCATTTGTGATAATGAATGAACCTTCCCAAAACCAAACACCCATTGTTCCATCTACACAAAGTCAATTAGCATTAGCATTCAGTACACGGACACATTAAATTCACCCAAGAACAACAGTGAGAGCTGCTATCTGCTTTATCACCACAGTCACCCCTGCAGTCTCAGAGGGGAAAATCTCTCTGACCTCTGTATCTTTGATGCCAGGAAGTTTCTGGAGCTGCTCTCTGAGTCTTGAACATTTACTGTGAAACTAATTAAAAACCTTGAGCAGATTCTCCTAGGACTGTGGTGTCAATGGCTAGAACTGATAATATGAATCAGAAAATACTGCTTAAATCTAACCATTATCAATTAGCAATGGTCAGTAATTTTACTTCTGTGTAGAGTTATTAACCTATTCTATAGGTTAATAACACAACCTCCTGCTGCAATGAATGCACGTACAATAAATTTAACATTTACAGCAGAGCAAGGAAGACTAATAATAAAATCTCACATTATTCCCCTCACACTGCACACAGAAAGGATGCCTATGAGACATGACAGCTACTTACGTAGACAGATGTCCACCAAGAACACAACATAGACTAGCAGCTCTCTCAGTGTGGTCTTCACATAAAGCTCTCTGTTTTCAGCTGTGTTCTCAGTCAGCGTAGTGCCCCACAGACCTGTTGGGTATAAAGAAGCGACTGTTGAGTTTTGATGGCCATTCTCAAGGGCCATGTGAGGAGCTGAAGTCCTGTTCTCAAAGAACTCCGCTGGGAGTTGAATTTTTGTCACTTTTTAAGGTCAAACCACTTTTCATTTCAAAACTTGACTAAGACCTATAAAAATGTGTTAAATAACCCCTAAGAAGAACTAGAACAATTCCAGCATGAATAAAAGATTTGGGGCCGACCAAAACTATAATATATTGGCTTTTTATTTTTGCTAAATCACTCTCCAATTTTCTGTTTGAGCTCATTACGGACTGATCTTTTCCTGACTGTTTTTCAGCTTACTCTTTGCAGAGATTTGTCACAAGGTCTCTTGAAACTATAAAACTTCAACTCAGTCACCCATGTGCCAACAGCTGACCTTCTGTTAGGACTCCTGTAGCAGAACTGCATCTGATGTTAGCTTTACAGATACTAGTCCTTTCAGTGCACGTTGCACCATTAGGTCCCTTGCTTACCTAAAAACTCTTGCAGTTTTCTTGTAGGTCATAAGACTTGCACACATAACACAACTCAATATTTTCAGCATAAAATTTAGAGCCAAATTGGCTTTAGGACATCTATCAATGGAGCTGTGCTGAATCCAATACAGTTATGCCAATTGCAACAGCTAGAGATCCTATTTCTTTCTACAGTCAAAGCAACTCATTAAATGTCACCAGGATTGATCAATAAGAGAGAAACACTTCCTTTAAAAGAAGCCTCGATATTTTGGGTTTGATGAACCGCCTGATACCATTAGTGTATTTGTTTGTTCTTTTTGAAACGGCTTTTTGTTGTGATTTCTGGAATGCTCCTGAAGTTGAAAGGCATAAGAACTTCAAATTGAAAGCCTAGTGATAGAAGCCATGTCGATAATATCCATAGTGTTGCTGCTTCCTGCAACTCCTAGAGAGCTCAGCCCTGATACCTATCCCCAGTAGTATGCAGCAATCATCTTCCTGCGAGCCAGGATCAAAGCTGATCAAAGGCCACACATTTGAAGTCAGTTCTTGCAGATAAGAAACCGCTTTTGTTTCTCTGGAGCAAGCAAAAGTGATCTAGTGGTCTGTGTGCATTTACTCCTGTCATTTTGACAGGTCTTTGGCATCTCAGCAGATCAGAGAGCTTTTTGCACCATCAACTACCGTAATGACTGTTCCAGAATCTGCCATCACTCCTGGGCAGACAACTAGTAGCCTGTTCTGGACAATCCAGACCAGCAACAGAAATAACAGCCTGAAGAAGATCTGGATTAACTGCTGTGAAGGAGAGAGTGTCCTGTCGTCTACAGGAATCTCCACAATGCAGAAAAACAAGTGGAAACAACTCACCCATCCGTTCAGGTCATATTTAAATGACAACCTTCATCCTCAGATATGACTACATCACAACCTTTAACAGGTTTGGTTTGGGTTTTTTCCCCATGAGGCAGAGAAACCTTACTTTCTATATGTTTGAAGCAGAGGCACAGACTTTCTTTGCTTTGAGAACAGAAGTGTACTTGGAACATCTAAATTCAGAGACACTCAAATATCCCTGAAAACTTGGTTCAGAGAGTTGCCCAAAATACCTGAAGGACCACGAGGCTGGTCCAGTACCCTTTCAGATTGCATCCAGAAATTGTAATACTATATCACTTGAGGTTTGTTTTCAGCTATTTCTTTAGGAAATCTGTAATTACCCACCAAGCCCACCCAGCACCGTTCCTCAGCCAGGAGAAACCTCTAAAGCCTCAGCTCTGACTGCATGTGAATAGATAGTGTTAGACTGTAATGACAATGACAAATAAGTATTGATCATAGAGGGGTTGTGCAAATCAGGACCAAGCTATACTGTTATTCACTCACATGTACTGTTAGAGGGTACAGTTCTGAGAAAGGTTCTTACATTCCAAGTCAGGAAGAAAACAAGAAAAGCTACACTGGCAAGAAAATGTAATTTTCACAAGAAACAGTTTCTTGGTCTATCTTCCCTGTTTTTACAATATTAGGATTTTATGCCTTCTATAAGAAACTGTTCAAATAATGCTCTTGCCCAGGACTATATACTTACAGGAGACTTATCTTGCTCCCAGAGTTCTGATTGTCTCTGATTAAGCCTACATAATATTTCATTCCCCTTTGCTTTTTAAACTGGAAAACAGCACCTCTTTCTTTCAGCTGTCTTCAAGAAAAGCATTGTTTGATACATTCCTGTAATCCCCTGCATTTCAGTCCTAGATTTTCTCTGGTAGATATTTCTATCAGTTCTTAAGTTACTGTAACACAGGGGCCAGACCACTGCCTAGAAAATGCACACATAGACAGAATGGTCTCATCACCACAGTGATGACTCCTGGGGGTTCTGAATATCTCAGCTCTGTCCAAAGCTCAGATTCACTGCAAAACCCTGAGCACATCACTTAGTCTCCGACTACCTTGTAGTAAAGGTAACAGGACAAACTGTGAAGCTATAGCCAGGCACACGGAATGAGAATGCTCCTTCCAGGTCAGCCAGACATGATCTCTGGAGTAATGCTACTGTATGTTGAGCAGGGCCCTAGGCTACACAGACACTATGAGTTTTCTACCTTCTGCATCCCTTCTCTCATCCCCCCATACGATTGTTCTTTCTGAGGGCTAATAAATCCTTTCTAGTGGGATGTCAGAGCTTTACCTCTTATGCCTCTGAAGACGTAGAAGAAGCACTTGAGGAAAGGACTTGTCTTCCCATCCACAGCTTTGCTCTGTTCTTCCTGGTAGGACAGTGGATCCCTAATCTCTTCAAAGTTCTCATAGGGATTTTCCAGGGTAGACTTGGGGTTGTAGATGGTTTGAATCTTCAAGGAGGTAGAAGGAGAGCCATTGTAAACAGGATTGTCCCAAGCTTTCTTCCCCACTGTCTCCAGTTCATGCTCCTCTGATGCTCTAAAGTGGCTCTCAGCTCTGTTGTTTAGGCGAGACGAATTCATGACTAGTCACTGCCAGTAGAAGTATTTTTTAACTGGAATTGTGAAGATTGCCTGTCCAAGCTGGAACTGTAAGGTAGCAGAGAGATAATCAGTAAATGCCAAACAGCTTGTCTGCTCAGCAACCAGGAGAGGGCACACCAACAGCTCCCCACAGACAGCAAGCATCCTCTCCTTTATATCTGCTCAGCTGGTGACACCGATCAGAGGGGTGGCACTACCCGTTGTTAGGAACCACTGTCAGCCTTATTATCCCAGGAGCCGTGGAACACCAACAAGTCCAGGAGTCATTCTCTGTTTCGTAAAGGCGACAACAGACTTAGATGCCGTCGTGAGAAGAGGCTGCTTAGAGGTCGGCCCCTGAGGATGGAGGGTTGGAAGGGGGAGGAGGCGGCTGGGATGTAGCTGGACCCCTCAGGCTGCTGCAGCCCGGGTCAGTTCCGGGGGAAGCTCCTGCTGGAAGCAGCGGTGGGACCCCGTGCGAGCTCCGTGAGGAGAGGGGCCAGACGGGAGCCTTTGCTCGGCGTGGGGGCACTCCCAAAGTTTCAGCGAAACGCCGAAGAGCAGAAGCGCTCCCCGTGAGCGGCGGCGGCGGCGCGGAGCATCTTCGTTATGTCACTGTAAAAGCAGGAGTGAAAAACGGGGGTAAATGTTGTGTTCGTTTTGGAAACAAGGGGCTGGAATCTTCTGCTTTGCAGAATTTCCGTAAGCCATGCAGTGCCTGCTGGCCCTGAGGCAAGCCTGATTTAAAAAAAAAAAACAAAACAAAACAAAACAACAAAACAGGATTACACCAGGCAAAACTGGCAATAACAACAGCTGGGAGTTGCCTGCATTCAACTTGCCCCTGGCCAGCAGCAAGTAGTCACCCCAGGCACCACAGGTGCTGAAGGCCTGTGACTGTACACTGGAGGGTCCCAGGGCTTAACCCTGGAATGACACACTTGTCTTGGTGATGAGACTATAAAAGAATGTATAGCCTGAGCCCAGTCCTTCCTCAAGTCTGAATATATAATTCGGAAGAGGTGCCTCTCCCTGGGTACTGAGGGTTGCACTTTTTCTGAGATTACCTAGGGAAGCAACGTGGCTCTTGCACCTGTAGATGACCGCAGGGCTCAAAGGCACAAGCAAAGATGTTTTCTCTGGACTATATGATCATACAGGTGATGTTGCCAGGCCAGCTGGGATGTAGAGAGATGTCCCCTCCCTGATGATGGCACTAAGCAGCTGCTCGAACAATAGTGAGACAAGACCTAACTTGGCACAGGTCACTAAGAAGGCAGCAGCTACTTGGAAGATCACTGGAGGTCTGGGTTGGATCCTTTGACTGAACTTGGTATTATTAGGGCCTGTTGTGTTTCATTGCTCCCTAGCAAAATGAGAGCAGTGGAATGGAATCAGAGAGTTGAATGGACGGAAAGCATTTTCAGAGCTCTCAAGCAGCAGAAACACTAAGGAATGAGACCTCAGTCAAATGCCAGACATCCAGTTGCACTGCTGGGACTGTACAACAGATATCCCTGCCCATGCACAGGTAGCATGGCTTATGGTGCAGAGCTGCTGCTTTGCAGGAACATTGCTGCCTGCAGCACAGCACCACATCACATCCCATCCTTCAGGGCTCAGGTACATTGCAGATCTGCCTTCTTGCTGGCTAGGGTACAGAGCAGGTGGTGAGAGGGGGACACTGACCTTCTATATTGAAAGACCAAGACAGCCACCTAGCCCAGAGGACAGGACATGTCTGTGTCATCTGATTTTGAAGAGCCTAACACAAGGTAGAACCAAGAGCACTCTATAATTAAGGAAACACATGCAATGCTTTGCAGGCAGCATGGAGTGACTCATTCATTTATGCAGGTCTGTAAAGCTCCTTTTCAGCTGATAAATTTGAACCTTACTGTTAGTGTATGCTTTAGTTTTGGACAGGAATCGAGATGGGGCTTAAATTGTCTGTCTGGTTTGGAAATGGTACAAGCACTTCCTTGCTAGGAGGCAGGATATGCATTTACAGAGGAAGCTGCCTCATTCCACGCTAGATAGGGCAGGGAGATAGGTCAGCTGGGTGAGAATACAATCCAAACTTTAGGACCTCATAGGTCACCATGCTATGTGTTGCTCTCTATGGTGTTTGACGTAAACCCCTGTGGAGCACCACTATTTGCTGGCTAAGGAACGATGTATGTCTGATAGCACTTACCTCACATCTTTTTTTCCTTTCAGTGTCTTGGGCCTTATTCACCAACCTTTCATTCTTGTGAAAACCGGCCAACAGAACATCACCATTCTTCTTTTTCCTGTCTTTGTTGAGATCCCTTTTGCAGCAGGTCTAGAAGAAACCTTTCAGAGGTACGCAGGAAGACCATTTCTAAAACCAGAAACCACTAACACAATGGGATTCAGCATGTTAGGATAAGTCAAAGGAGCACAGCCACAGAAGTTTATCTGTCAATCTGCCAAGCACACATACTGTTAGACAATATCCCACACTTAAATCCTTAGTGTAAGGAGCAGAGAGCACCAAAGAGTTAATAAATTCCCCCCAAAGCACTATCAAACACTGAATTAGAACTTCAAAGCATTTGGATTTCATGGTTAGTAAAAAGTTCCATCAGTTAATAAAGAGCAGTCACTTTTGTTGAGACACTGAAGGTGAGTTCACTCACCAGACCCAAGAGGACAGCCTCTCCAGGAGCTCACCAGCCACTGCTGATGTGGCCCTGAGAGGAACTATAGTCACTCTTTGCTGCAAATAAAACAAAAAAAGACACAGCCATGGATAAATGATTCTATATCCATACCTTCTTACTTAGGGTGCTATGTTCATTCTCTTTGCAATAATCCATTTTCAGCAGGTTCTCATCAACAAAAGCATTTGGTTTCCACTTCCAGGACACGTGAATTGAGCTAGGGATGGTGGTTATCCCTGCAAATTGCATCAGGGGAAGAGAACAGAAAAGTGGTGGTGGCAGCACTAATCAACTGTTGAACATGAGAAGAAAAAAAATAGACTTCCAAACAGAGTACCTTGGTGCTGAGTAAGCTGTTTATGCTGCATTTTGAAACTTTTCCCAGCACAGTGTATTAACATATCCATGTTTTCATTACTTTTCATTTAACAAAGTCTTCTCTGCCTCTTTTTTTTTTTCCCAAACAGGTGTATTTTATCTACATTTGAATTACTTGATACCATTCTTATTCTAAGAATGTTCAGATGCTAAAGTATCCAATCATCTCTTGAGGGACTCGTTAGGAATCAGCACAAAAGGTGAAAGTTACTATCTGCAACCAAGATGCAGGAACTGCACCAGTAAGCACCCCTACATGTCTTCAATCTGTCAAGATAAATCTGTCTGAGAAGGAGAAGGTGGAGAGAGAGCAAAGGATGTCTTAGATTGAAATTGAGCTATAGAAACATGTTACCATGTTGTACAACTTAAGAATACGTTTCCATAAACATTTGCAGAAGTACATGTTTACTAACACTTACATATTTCCTAACACATTGGAGAGCTCTCTTGCATCCATGTACCTGTGCAGAGACCCTCAGTGGAGATTTCACTGGATGGCTGCAAACTCACAGGGAATGTGCATGTGCAACTCCAGCTGAGCAGAAAGAAGTGGGTATAGAACGAAGTTATCAGGTCCTTCACAGCATAATGGTAATTTTTCCTCTTTTCAGAATATAGAACTAAATTTTCTTGATCAGATTATACAATTTTGATTATGAATAACCTTTACTGTCATTCTGCAGGGTGTTGTTTTCTTAAATCTTCATTGCAATACACACAGATGTGCATATGCATGTGTGTGCATTCTACCACACACACACAAGCAGCAAGCATGCCCTGTGCTCCTAGGAACTGGCTGGGCCTACCTAGTCTCTCTTTGAAACACTGTGGGCAGGAATGAATACCCAGGTGAGCACCACACCTAAAAAAGCATAAGTGCCCAAAGAGTCCTGGCTTGAAAGCAAAAGGTACTTCCTCCTATGCAATGCAACCAGTCCTGGGGTGGCAACCAACCTGCAGATCACTCCCAGAGGTGATCCACACTTGTCAAGAGAGTCAGGCTGCTTCCTTCAAGGTGCTCAAAGAGCTGCTTCTCATAGGCTGGGCTGCCGTCAGTGCCGGTGGCAGGGTGTTTGGATACAGGCTGCTCCTTTGACCCAGATTTAGCACCACCAGTAAGAAGAGAGAGACACACACACAGCCTGTGTCCCACAGCATATCACAAGCAAACACCTGTCACTGTCTCTGCGAAGACAAAGCAGGACTCAGACTTTTTCCCCAATCCAGCTATCTGCCAGATGCAAGGGAGTCTCTGCATAATACCTGTGAGAATACAGCAGGTTCCAAGCTTGTGTTGAATAAGTGTGACAAGGACAAGGAATGTTCATCATTTTGGTTTGCTCCTGAAAGGGCATTGGCTGACTTTTTAAACACCTGTTTGAAAGCCTGTTCTTCTGAACCCTTCACCCTAATCACTGACTATTCAGACAGATCACTGCTGTTTTCCTTCAGTATCTCTATGCATAAGGTAAAGAATCAGTGTTATACAACTAGAGAAATTAATTGTACCATAAAGACCTTTCCAGTAGTCCTTAGCCTCTGCATAACCTGTTCCCTTAGGGGACTTACAGGTTATATGAATACAAAATGATGAAAAGTGAATATGAAGAAAATGAAAGCAGGCACAGAGGCAAAGAAACCAGCTGGGTCTTCCATGGCAAGCAAAGAGAGCTGAGCAAGGAAGACCTCCAGGCTTCCATCCCACCAGATTCCTGACAGATACACCCTGCCCTTTAATAGTCAAACCCAATAGGAAGAGGTCTTCATCCAAGAATTCAATACCTCATCTGTTTATTCCCAAAAAGGTCTTCCCTAATAGCACTCAATATCCTTCTGTGACAAGGTGGTGTAAGGAACAGTTCGAATCTACAGAAGTAGGAAGAGGTAGTTGAAGAAAAGCAACTCATGAGACAGTACAGGCCTAAACTGGGGAATGTTGCATTAATACACAGACTGACACATAGGGAAAAATAACAGGAAGCATCAGATATGACAGATGAGATGGAAGTTTCAATGAGCTTTGTTAATAGAAGAAAGCATGATGGAAAATAGCATTGCTACATCCAGCTTCCTGATGGAATATCATAATTCATAATGAAAAGAATGGGAGAAGAATTCATAATTCTATACGTGGGAGACCAGTAAAAGAAGGTCTCTGTTATGAAATTGTTTCTCTCCTCCTGAATTTGTATTTCTGCTGGTGTTCCCACTTTTAGAGACACCAGCACTTTAAGCATTTAATCTCTGAAGCATAGGTACGGCCTATGCTCTTTTCAGTTTATTCATATTAAATCTTGCACTGAAACATTGTGTCATTTCATTAGCTATTATTTATACTTTAGTTCTTTTCATCTACTCACCAATTATGTGCTTATGAGTTTGGTAAAGCCCTTAAACTCACTATTGTGACCACCTAGGTTTACTAGGCAGCTCCCTGGGAATTTTGTAGCATGTGGCTCTTGGTCACAAACTGGTACAGGGCTACCATGTTTGGGAAAGCTCACTGGAAGCATCATTGACTTTTTCTGACTTTTTGGATGAATCCCATGAGGATGGTGCCCAAACATCTCAGCGACGGCAGTCCAGCAAACCTCAGACTTGCCCGTCGCCAGCTGGGGAGGAAATTCTGCAGCTGCGACCCGTGGGATGCTTCAAGGACTGCAGTCTCAGCCTTCCACGCTTTACTGGACTTCGGCCACCCTGCGGGAGCCCGTGGACCAGACCGGTGTCCCCGTTTCCCCGCCTGTCCCGGGCTCTCCCGGCCCCGGCCGGGCGGTGGCAGCCGCGCTCCGCCGCGGGGGCAGCCCCGGCACCGCCCGGCCCCCTCGCCTCCCTTCATTTCCCCGCCGGCTGCCGCCGACCGCCTCCATCGGGCTAAGCACACAGCTCGCATTCTTTCCCATTTTCCTCACTCCCTTCTGGATAGTCCCCAAATCTGCTCGCTCTCCGAGGGCGTGGTGCCTGCCCACCGCTGAGCACATTTCCCATCCGACTCCGCACCGCGACCTCCGCTGCCCTGCTGCCACAGCCCCAGCTTTGAGAGCTTATTGAGCAACGCTCTGGCGCTGCCAGCTTGGGTCCGGCTGCAGCTCCTGGGCCAGGCAGTGCAGGACAGCTGCCAGGGCACCTTCATGCAGCTGGTCCTTCCTGCCTGCACGGCCCCCTCCTCAGCTGGCTCTTCTGCCTGGGACCACATTACCCGGCAGCAACAAACACTGGAAATCCAAATCTCACCAGCACTCACCTTGCATATCAGATTGGGGCTGTCCTCTATCAGACTCAGTCAATTACTCCCTGTCACCCTGGTTAACAATGACAATATGGGCAGAGCCAGCACAGCCCCAACAAGACCCATCTTGTCATTGTCAGGACAAAACAGTAGAAATATCCACCAACTAGGAGAGAGGCAGCCAGTCCTTTCTGAGAGCTCAGCAGAGTACTCAGTTGTCAATCCTGCCTGAGGACCAGTGCAGGTGTTTGGGGTTAAGGGAATGCAATTTATTCCACCTGGGAAAGCTTTTTCTGGCAAGTTACTGCTCCCTGCATATCATGTACATGCCACAGCATGAGTGGTGGGCACATGCCACAGAGGACATACAAGATCCACCTGCTGAAAGTTGCCGGGCTCTTCAGTTTAATCACTGCATGTTGACCTTGGGAACACTCCCACCTCTCAGGGCCTCCTGGCAGGGGCAGGAAGTGCACATATCCGAGGCAGAATAATTTAGGGAAAGTCCAAGGGGTGGAGCTGGGGGTATAAAACTGGATTAGCAGTTCAAACTTAAATCCTCAGCACTGGTTAACTGTCATGCAACTCACTGCCGGACAGGGAACTCACCCTGCCAGTTCCTGTCATGCCTGGAACAAATTTTAGCAATGAGTCACTCTTAGATCAGGGTCATCCAGAGCAAAACATCAAGCATCTCTGATACCTGCTGATACCCTCTCGCCCTCCCCTAGCAGTTGTCAAATGTCAGCAGCTGACATTTTGATGCTGTTTTTCCCTTAGTCCATGGCTAAGACTCAAACTAACACCCATATGCTGAAGAGGAGATACCCTGTCCACAGGAATGAAAGAAATGTTCCTGCTACATCCAGTAGTACCAGAGGAAGAGCTTAATCCCTGCATCTGAAGGCCTGGCACCTCCTGAGATCCAGCTGTGAGCCCTAGAGAGGAAATGCAAAACAAGGAGTCCTGACATCTTTGCAAACCAAGGCAGGGATCCTCTGGACACCAGAGGTGCCCTAGTTCTACTCTAGCACATCCTGGGCTCACTCCACTGGTTTTTAGGGAGTGGGTGCTGGCCAAGTCCTGCCTAGAAAGCATAGGGGCAGATTCCTCAGGAGCTACAAATGATTCACCACATTTCTACCTTTGTTCACCGGTTTTCTCTAACCAAGCCATTGTTTAGATGAAGATCACTTTCTGCAGTGCAATTATATCCATCCAACCTGCACAGTCCCATGCGGCACACTGCTTATTTTTCTCTACGTATGCCTGACCATGTCATTCCAAATAATCCACAAAGTTTACATTTTATAGGTAGGAGGACAAGATAAGAAAGGCTAAGGTGGCCATTTGAAAACCCAGAGGCTGACATTAGTTTTGGGATTAAATGCTGCATGTTCTTGATATTCAGGGATGAACCATTCACCTGACTGAGACAGTTCTTTAAGGATATACTTGAGTGATTGAAAAAGTGGTGGTGAAGTAGGAGTTGGGACCCTACCAATCACTGGCAATGTTGAGTATTTGCACACCAATTAGCTGCTATCTGTGTCCCAGTGCTTTCCAGACTCATTCTACCCTAGCATTCAGGCATGTTAGCTGAGGTCCTGGAGTACCTGTGGGTGCTCTCAGCATATTACACACTATGTGATTGGGCGGGGCATTGCTGGGGGGAAGACAATGCAGTTGCTTGGTAATGGTTTGAGAGGTGCCATCCTGAGAGGCGTTCACCCCCCAAAGCTGCACAGCTGAGCGTCACACGTGCAACCAAAACTTTGCTGGTGCAGGGGAAGTTTGCCTGGATTCTTCCTGTGCGATATTTTTTCTGTTCAGGGAGGCTCTTCAAGTTTTATATGCAAAAAATGCTAATTTTTTATATGTAAATCTTTTTTCATAATTGTTATTCCCAAGGCACACCACAGAGGCAGCAGGCTTTTTAAAAAGCAGAATGGCACAATGGACAAACAAAGCAGAACCTCAGACCTAGGGTGTTCCCAGTGCCAAACAGAAAAAGACAGTTACTCCATGCGTCCTTCCTATGCCACTGTTTCCACATCTACAACTTGCTCTGCTTGCAGTAGTGTGACACTGTGAGCACATGCTTCACTATTGCCCCCAGACTCTTATCTGCAGAACTGCTGTCTCACCAAGTCACTCTCCCAGTATAGGTTTGGACAGTTGACTGCCCCTCAAGCTAGAACTTTGTACTTGTCTAGTGAATTGCATCCTACTATTTGGTTCAGCCAAGATCTTATTGGAAATTTAAGCAGGGTGACCTCCAACACATTTTCCTCTCTACCTACTCTAGTACAGTCTACAGAAGGAAGAAGCTTGGTCTATCGTTCCTCATGTGTATCAGCAGGGAAATTCAAAGTAGCTGTACTGCAGGTATGGATCCCAGAGTCATTCCAGCAACCCTCAGACTGAAAGTGAGTGCTCTTAGCCCAATTCCCCAAAACCTTTATTACCATCCTCTCCTAGGAAAAATTAGGAGGATAAGAACAGCTGTGATAATGCCATATAACTATACCAAAAGCCATACAATTCTGCTACTTCACCCTTACCTGACTTTCTTTTCTCAAAGACTCGTGAATAAAATCAGCTGGCATTATCAGAGAAGGTTGATGCCATTTCCGTGCCAACTCTGCAATCCTCTGGAATCCTCTGCAAACATGATCCTCTCAAACACAGCTTGGATGAAGGAAAACACATACCTTCCAAAACACACCGAATGCCTGCTGTGTGAACACATGTGGTGGGAGATCATCTGCTGCACCTCCCCAGTGCCATGAGGACCTCACTTTGTAAGAAGCCTCTGTAGATTGATTTTTTGAATGAGACTTCTATGTTAGTACTGCCACAAGACTTAGAGGAGACAAAATGATGACACTTAAAAAGGTAACAGAAATAGCTAAGAGCAGATGATATTCGGCTTCAGGGTTACTTCAGTGTTACCTCCCAGGATTTCTTTTACGCTTGGAACAGATCTCTCCCTCTATTAGCACTTGAAACACAAACACCAGGTTAACAAAGGGTATTTTACCACCAAAACTAGCAGCCCTTTACTCTAGGTGAGGAAGTAGACCCAGAGAGGGAAGAGTGTGTTTCCAGCTCCATTCTTTAGAAGAGACAGGGTAGACAGGTTCTTTAAAGACCTGGAAAGGCAGCAAAACCAGGCAGGCAGGTAAGGGAGCAAGCAAGGAGACCTAAAAATGTTCCTGGCTAGAAATGTAACAGCTTGTAGGACGTTTCTCCTTAAGGACTCCAAATGTCCTTTAGGTGGCCAGCCATGCACATTACTGCAGCCCACCCACCATGATGGGATGCACTCTACTCAGGTGGGAATCCTGAAGGATTTTCAGTTGTGAATGGACTTAGACAAAGGACAGGAACACCATACCGCCCCTGTTCTGTCGGCAAAAAAACCCAAAAAACCATCCAAAATGCAGTTCACAACATACAGATCTTCACTGATATAAGTAAAGAGGGAAAGGAGGAAAAGCGATGCTGGCTTCTGGAGGAATACAAAGACTCTCTGCTCTAGTCTTGTTGTCCAAGAGGAAAGAAAACATTCCCTTTGAAAGGGACTGAGGTATGAATGTAGGCAAAGTTGAAGCACCAGACAGGGAGAGGCACATGCCATCTTTGAGGTTTTTCTTTGTGTGCCACTGATAAGCCTAGAGTAGGGAAGGTTGGGATGAGGGTCCAGCAATATTCTCCTTTATCCTTCCTGCTTCTCATACCAGCAGCATGTATGCATTCTCAGGGCAACCCCACCAGTTTCTCCCTGCTGGGTTTTGCCTGCTTCCCCTAACAGGAGTCTATCAGAAACATCTCCAGAAGGAGAATACCTATCTAGGTTTTAGCCAGCAGCGTGAAAGGGAAATGTCTCCCCTATATCTAGACCCCAGGTTATTTTTAACTTGGGGAAACTACATTTGTTCTCCTAAATGTTGGAGCTCAGGCTGCTGTTGCAGGGTAGAAAGCAATGATGCAGAGCACATACAATAAGAGGATAAACAATGGCATGGGACACTGTGCTCTGCCCAACAGAGGCAGCTGCAAACTGACCTTGGATGTACCCTCATCCTTCCCTGGTGCTGCAATTTTCCCCTGTGCTGACTATGTGGCAATGTGTCCCCAGGGCTCATGCTTACAGCCTGCAGCATCACCTCTTTCCCCACACAGATGGAGATCCACCCTTATGTGCAGTGGGCATCTTAGATCTGTGTTAGCTGCATCTAACCCCGGGTGGCACCATGGAGTAGGAGACACTGTGGCAGTGCCCACGCCACCTAAGCTGCATCAGAAGATCTGCAACTTGGAGGTGGCATTTCTGCAGGTCCCTGCTCAATGCTTCCACGATGGGGGCAGCAGGGGATGGGATACCTGAGAGGATGGTCTCAGCATGAAGAGAGGGTCAAGGGTGTGGGAGGGCAAGAGGGCTGCAGGTGTGGGAAGGAAGGCACAGTGGGCCTGGAGGAGGAGAAAGGACAGCTGAGATGAGCAGAGCAGACTGCAACCAGAGGCAGGGAGGCTGTAGAACTGCAGGGGGTGCCACTGTCCAGAGAATGCAGGGTGGGGATGGACACTCG